AGTGCGATGGAACGTTCATTAAGAAATTTAGCATTGAATTTGACAATCATGAATATGTTTGCGAGGGTTAATTAACGTTTTCAAACTTTCATTAACGTTTTGGTGCAGACAATAAACCACAACACGCATTCAATACAGTGTTTTGGACATAATACTATACTATATACATAATACTATCAATCCCAGTGTGGAGTTGAATTACCCTCCGAAGAGGCTCAATTATCCTCCAAAGAGGCTGATATATTTTATCTGCAGATTGACTGCTGAGGTCAGCCATGTTTGTTTCCGCTCTCTTGTTAGATGAATGATCTCGGCGTGAACATCGGCCTAAAATTTGAATAACACCTTCAATTCATTTTACCGAATAGAAATACCAAATGAAAGCTGTGATAAATAATATTGATGAAAACACTTTACTTACTTGTCTTAAATAATCTACACTATACTATCGACCAAGCAACTACGAGGTTCCATTTGTCGTCATCTCTTCGTGTCGCATCGCTTACTCTTCGGTAAGAGGGAGATTATATTATTTAAGCCGTGATTGGTTCCGAAGTTTATCTATATTGTTACGGACTTACTTACACAACTCGATGACATAGTGGCTCCCCCTCCTTTTTAACTTATAAGAACTGCGTTAGTTAAAGATATAAAACAAGAAATTATAGGTTTAGAAAGAAGAAATTTCGGAATCAAATAAAGTTAGTTTTCGTAAAAATGAGCAACAAATTGAAAGTCTGTCCAAACATTTACTTAATTAGTGTAAATAAGTTTTTGGTTTCTTTTAAAATAGCCTTGAATCATTGATAGTACGCTAAACAAGAAATCAAAGGAAGGATCATAGTATTATTCAAGTCAAATTGTTTTACCTGTTTGCCCGTGTTCATAGAACGAAACGCTTGGGTTCAGCTTCTGCGAATTCGACAGACAAGAGACAAACGATAATTTCGTCTGTGGAAAAAACGTTAAAAACTTTCAGATTAATATATCCTAATTTGCGTCGAAGTTTTGCACATCAAATACGGCAGAGTAAATTTTATTTTTCTGAATAAAGGGCAGCCTTTTATATAGATCATGAAGGGGGTTACCCCTGGGGTTTTTCCCTTGGGTTTTCTAGAAAATGCTAATTGGCAAAACGTAGTTTTTATTGGAAAAACGGGAATTTCTAAAATGGTAATTAAGCCGTAAAAATAAACCATTATGTAATTATACATTTTGAATAAAGAAGAATGGCCATTTTCGTATTCTTGGGTTTTTTATCACAATAATTATAATTTTAGAGTAGTGGTTGGAGAATTATATTTCTATTTGGATTTCAATAAAGCGTCTTAAACATCGAAACCACTCATTTCGTCTCAGTTAAATTAAGTCCATAGTCCATTTCTATTTATACGTCATGTCTTTGTCGTGCTTGCCTTCTTGTCGACGATATAAGTCGTAACAAAAAATTCCCGCCAAAAAAAACCTCTGTTTTGACTAGGAATTTTTATTATCCTGGGAAATATCTTATATATTTACTTTCATTTTTAAGCGGGTTTTTTTTCAGGGTCGGTTTTCTCGGTTTTCCTCCCTTCGTAGATCTACACGAGAGTTGAGAGAGATGTACGCCTATACTTAATGTAGTGGTAGTGAGTTTTACTCCGTAACAACATTCTTATTCGTTTAGTATTATATTTATTTATTTATTCTTTCTTTCTTTCAGTTTTATGGGTCGATTGTTTTTTGTTATATATATATATTTTTTTAATTCCTTTTAAAAAATGTTTTGATTCAATTTTTTTTTTCGATTGGAATTTTTCCAGGCAAACTAAGCGTTACATGCACTCATTACAGGCACGCGTTACAAGCGCAAGAAAGTCAAAATAAAATGCAAATTTTTCTATCATTTGTCTGGCCTGGCGTTTTTCAAAGCGTTGCATGTAGCATTACAAGTCGTTACATGCGTACGTTGGGAGCAGGTTGTTATTTATTGTTAAAACTTAAAACGCAGCATTTTTCCAAGTTCATACCTTGTCTTTTCCTTTTTTCTTTTCTTTCCTTTTCTTTCGTCTCATTTCATTTCGTTTCCTATCCATCATCGCATCAGGAAAAGAAAAGCAAAGCAAAGCAGAGGAGAGGAGAGGAGAGGTTTTTGAGGTTTGAAATAGCTTTATTGGCATGACCTACAATTTACAGGTATTGCTAAAGCATTGAACATTAACAGGGATTTTTTTTGTTTGTTATATTTTACAAACACATTGTAATAAGAAAAATATCTATATATCTATATCTACACATATCTATATGTAAAGTAACATATTTAAAAAAATAGGTATGAGTATTACAAATATACTAAAATCTTAATTGAATGGTAATAATAATCAAACATAAATTTATCAAAAGTAATCATTAATACATTACATCAATTATTATGATTCATTCCTAAGAATGAAGCATTCGCATATAAACTTAGAAAAATAAAAAATAACCTTGTCATTGGTAGAGATCATTAAGTTACGAATTATGTTAAGATCTTTAAAATTGTCAACAGATATTTCAGGTCCTATCACATCAAAAAATCGTCGGCGAATTTGATTATAAAGAGGACAGTTACACAACATATGTATTTCTGTTTCAACTTCATTGTTCGTACAGAATAAACAGATACGTTGATCGTTTGATATATTTTGATTGTTGTATCTGCCTGTTTCGATAGCTAATTTATGATTACTAATTCTAAATTGGTGAACTGCCTTCTTTGCTCAAAATTTTGAATT